CTGCTGCACGACCCTGGCGTGGTCCACCTTGGCTGTGATGGTGTTGAGGAGCGCGTTGAGCTGCATCGGGTTCTCCTCGAGGTAGAACCTCGCTGCGAGGAGAGGGAGGATGAGGAAGAGGAGGGGGGGGGAGCGGGCGCACGGGCAGCAGGAGCAGGCGGAGGAAACAGGAGGAGGAGGATGAGGAGGAGGAGGAGGAAACGGAGGAGGAGGATGCTCCTAATACTACGAATGCTAAGAAGAAGAACAACACAACGAATAACCAAACGAATAATAAGACGAACACGTAAAGGGGAACAGGAGGGTGGAGGAGGAGGGAGGGGGAGGGAGGAGGCGGAGAGGGAGGATGAGGAAGCGGAGGAGGAGGAAGAGGACGAGGACGAGGACGAGAAGAAGGAGGAGGAGGAAGAGGAGGAGGGGGGAGGAGGATAGGAAAGAGACGGGGCGACGAGAATGGTGAAGGAGGGAGGAAGAGGAGGAGGAGGAGGAGGAGAAGGCAGGAGGAGGAGGGGGGGGGAGGAGAGGGAGGAGGAGGTGGAGGAGGGAGCAAGAGGAGGCGGAGGGAGGAGGAGGAGGAGGAGGAGGAGGAGGAGGAGGAGGAGGCTGAGGAAGAGGATCAGGATGATGATGATGATGATCATGATGATGATGATGATGATGATGATGATGATGATGATGATGATGATGATGATGATGATGATGCTGCTGATGATGATGATGATGATGATGATGTTGCTGCTGATGATGATTATGATGATGATTATGATGCTGATGATGCTGATGCTGCTGATGGTGATGATGACGATGCTGATGCTGATGGTGATGATGATGCTGAGGAGGAGGAGGATGACGAGGAGGAAGATGATGAGGAGATAGGGAGGAGCGCACGTAGCTATTGAGATGATTCACCAGCCCCTCACTCGACAACGGCGGCATCATCGGCGGACGGACAGGGCGTGGGGCTCCTGGCACTCCGTCGCGCACGTGGTGAGCTTGCATCGGGCATTAATTGAGCGGCATGCTTCATGCGAGCTGAAAGCGGGTAGAATCCTGAGAGGTGCGGGAGTTGTTGCGGCCCTGGCATGTATGCATGGTAGGTGTGGCTAGAGAGGGCAGTGAGAAAAGTTGGCTCTCTCGAGCGATAGGGAATCGGATTCGCAATCCACGTTATAAGCATTGCCAGAACCGATCCCGAGACGGATAATAGGGTCCGAAGGGAAACTGGAGCGGGGCAAGGCGATGAGGGGAACGAGTCGAGGACACACGAGGTAGTGGGGCACGGGGTCAGGGGCACGAACCTCGATTCCGAGGCGTGCGTGCGCGCATCCAAATTCTGCCTGGGTCAAGCCTACTCGAGGCTCCAAGACAACGGACACGCTTGGCGGACGCCTGACGTGATGTGGAAGAGTGGCTCGGTCTTCTCGCCAATGCGTGCGTGGCCGACCGTATCATGGGCAAGCGCAGCCAGTAGATGGGTATATGCAGGAGGGGAGGAAGCCCACGGCGGCCGATCACGTGCCTGAGACACACCTGGGACACGCGGAGGAGGAAGAGGAGGAGGACGAGGAGGACGAGGAGGAGGAGGAGGAGGAAGAAGAGGAGGACGAGGAGGAGGAGGAGGAGGACGAGGAGGAGGAGGAGGAGGAGGAGGAGGAAGAGGAGAGGAGGAGGAGAAGGACGAGGAGGATGGAGGAGGAGGAGGAGGAGGAGGAGGAGGGCGCGCCGAGGTCGGCCTCCGCCTCCTCCTCCTCCTCCTCTTCCTCCTCCTCGTCCTCCTCCTCCATCCTCCAACTCTTCCTCCATCTTCTGTCCTCCATGCTCCACCCTCAATCCTCCATCCCCTGGTCTCCATCCTCCCTTGAGGGCATGTTTACATTCGCGGCCACAACGGGCGTAATGGGGGGGAGGGGGATTGTTGGATTGCGCTCTGATTCGCCGAGGAGACGGTCAAGTTAGGGGGAGGGGGGGAAGGGAGGGGGCATAACGTAGCGCCCCCCACCCTCCCCCCCCAGACTGTGGTGCCGGACGCACTGCGGCAGTACCAGGGACGCACCGAGGGGGGGGAGCGTTGCGCGATGGGGGGGAAGGGGGGGGAGGGTCGGGGGCATGACGCGCGTCGTGTCCCAGAGGAGGAAACGGCACTGTCCTTTCTCCTCCTTTCTCCTCCTCCTCCTCCTACCTTTTCTCTTCTCTCCTCATTCCTCCTCCTCCTTCCCTCCCTCCTCCTCCCTCCTCCTTCTCACCTTCCCCTCCTCCTCCTCCTCTTCCTCCTTTCTCCTCATCCTGCTCATCCTCATCCTCCCCCCCTTTCTACCTCCTCCTCCTCCTCCCCTCCTCCTCTTCCTCCTACTCCTCATCCTCCTCCTCCTCCCGGCCGCGGACACCCCCGGCGTAGGGCCCCCGCGTGGCGTGGCCGCGGGCCGCTCCTGCGCAACCGGCCGCGGCCATGCTGCTCGAGGGCGCGGCGCCCCACGCTCGGAGGCCCGCCTGCCTCGGCCCACCTCCGCCTCCGCCGCGTCGCCGCGCGGGCGGCCGCGACGCCCAGCATCGCGCCCAGAAGTAAGCACCGAGGGATCCGCCATCGACCTCCGCCTCCTCCTCCTCCTCCTCCTCAGGCCTCCTCCTCCTCCTCCTCTCCTCCTCCTCCTCCTCCTCCTCCTCCTCCTCCTCCTCCTCCCGCCCCAAGAGGCCCCCAGGAGCACCCCAAAAGAGAGGCCCCCAAGGGGCCCCCGAGACGCCGCCAGGGGAGCCCCAGGAGGCCCCCAGGAGGCCCCAAAGAGCGCTCCGGGGCCGGCGGAAGGAGCGAAGCGGTTGAATTAAGCACCGAGAGCTCCACGCGAACTGCTCGGGTCGGCGCTGGATCCCGCTGGCGGCACCCCCGCCTGGCCCGCCTGGCGCGCTCCGCGCACCGGGGAGGGGGGGATCCAACGCCGAAACATGCACTTAAACCTCCAGAGATCCGTGCGGCCCACTGTCGAGCAGGGACCGACCGTCCCAGAATTCCGATAGGCCTTCCACGAAATGTCCTTGGAACCCAGAAATGTTCGACGAACAAAAAACAGTGTTCTTAGAACATAAGCCCTGCGTGTTCAAACAAGACAGCCTCGGCCAGAAATGTTCTAGGAACATTTCGTGTAGACCACACAAATATTATCAAAACATTTTTGTGGTGGGCCTATAGGCGAGCCAGGACGCTTCGCCACTGCTAGACTCTGAAAGTTTATGCGAACGCATGTTTCTTCTTCCGAGTGCCAGGAGAGCATAGCGCCGATTCCCGAAAAGCGTATGTTTAATTATACGGTTTTGTGGCTGCTCGATGTTGGCGGCGCGCCAGCCGAAGATCGCTAGCGTTTTGCGCGTCCACCGAGGCCCCTCAGCACGGCGCGAGGGCTAGCACAGGCTGCGGGCTGTCGGCGGAGCCAGCAGACGAGCTAGCATCATGTCGGGCATGACCGCCTACAGGCGCATTTTGGACGAGAGGTCGAAACATACGCAAAGCATATTCAAACTTGGCCAACAGTGGTAGAAAAAAACCGTCCTCAGACGATCTGTTCACCATTTTTGAATGTTCCTCCTGTACACGCCGTTCATTTCTAATCGTGCTCATTTCTAATGCTGCTCGTTTCTCATTGTTCCTGGCCCCCTAGTGGCCAGGAAGAGGCCCAGGACAGAAGAATTAGAAATGAAAGGATCCTGGCCCCCAACAAAAATCGAAGAACTTTCGAAGAACTAGAAACGAACAACGTGTAGAAGGACGCGCCCGACGTAAAGCTAGCAGACACCCTGAGGATCCAGCCGCGGACGCACGGGCGGCGCATGCTGCACTGGGACCGACAGGGACGCCCAGAAGAGCCTCGAGCCGCAGGGGGGAGGAGGGGGAGGAGGAGGAGGAGGAGGAGGAGGAGGAGGAGGAGGAGGAGGGAGGGGAGGAGGAGGAGGAGGAAGAGTCGACGCGAGGGGCGGCAACCTCCTTGTGAAAGGCTCGGGGGCTCTTGGAAGGGACGGGGGGGGCGTCTGCCAGGGGCTTCTCGCGGGAGGGCGTCCAAGGAGGCCCCCCCCCCCACCTTTTAAAGGGTTCCGACCCCGCACCACCCGCCCTAAACGCCCTCCTCCTCCCCAATCACCTCCCTCCGATCTCATACTCTGCAGCCTACTCGAGACCCGCTTCAGCTCATCCTCTCTCCGCCGCCTCCGCCCCCTCCGCCTCCGCCTCCGCATCGCCTCATCCACCTCACTCCGCCTCTCCTGACCCCTCCTCCTCAGCCTCCTCCAGCGGCTCCGCCTCATATCCATACCGTTAGTGTACTTGCTTGGCTCCTGGTCTCTTTTCAGGTTTGCCTCTCTCCTCCTCATCATCATCATTTCTTTCATACTCTCCTCCTCCTCCTCCTCCTACTCATCCACTCCGCACTCCTCCTCTCCTCCTCCACCTCTCAGCCTCCTCATCCTCCTCTCCTCCTCCTCCCCCGGCCTCCCCCGCCCCGACCACTTATGCTCGCCGCCGGTAATGCACTGCATGCGCCCCAAGATGCACGCAGGCACGTGCACACATGCTTTTGTTCCCTTCGGCACGCCGATGGCACGAACCACTGGTAGACAACAATGGGAGTGCACCCTGAGAGCAAACTATCCATCTTGCGCGGACACGCGCTCGAAGCAAGGAAACCATGCCACGTCGGACGTGGCCGACCGATGGAATGCACAGAGCAGACGAATGCACGATAGGAGCGCGCGCGCGCACACGTGAGCACGCACGCGTCAGGACTTGGCGTAACGGAGCCGCGCGCTTCGGAAGCTGGTGCCCGGAGCCCGCTGGAGCGCGCTCTTGAAAGGAGGCGCGCCACTTCGAGCGAACGCGCTCCGAGCGGAGCGATCTGGGCCGCCTGCTGTCGCAGAAGAAAGCCCTGGGCGCCACCCCCGGACCTTCTTTCTTTGCAACTTCCACATCCTGAGGTCCTGCGCCTTTCTCCGTGCGTGCTCTCTTCCATAGCAGTCCCTGTCGTCCCCATCTGCAGTCCCCGCATCGAGGCGGAACGAGATGGCGCGGTAGTACAGCTCCATGTTCGACACCTTCCGGGCTCTTCCTGCAGATCTTCCTCCTCCTCCTCGCCATCATCAGCAGCAGCATCAGCATCAGCATCAGCATCAGCATCAGCATCATCATCAACATCATCACCATCACCACCACCACCATCACCACCATCATCATCATCATCATCATCATCATCATCATCATCATCATCATCATCATCATCATCATCATCATCATCATCATCATCATCAGCATCATCATCACCACCACCATCATCATCATCATCATCATCATCACCATCATCAGCATCATCATCATCATCATCATCAGCATCATCATCATCCCCGTCCGCTCTCCGTCCTCTTCAGCATCTTCCTATTCCTCCTTCCCCTAATCCTCCTCATCATGACCCAGCTCTGGAACCTCCACCTCATCCTTCTCCGCATCCTCCTCCTCCTCCTCCTCCTCCTTCTCGCCATCCTGCTCCTGACATGTCACAGCGAGCGCAGCCATTCGCCACTCAATATGTCCCTGCGGCCGCTCGCCACAGCCACTCATGACGTCCTTGGCTCGCCGTGGCGAAGAAGGCTACGCCATGCCGCTGGCCGAGGACGAGTGTGCCCGTTGGCTCGTGCCCATCCTCATCCTCCTCCTCCCACTTCCCCATCATCCTCCCCCTCCCCCGCCCCATCCTCTCCTCGTCCTCTTTCTCCCCCTCTCGTTTCTCCCGCTCCTCCTCCTCCTCCTCCTCCTCCTCCTCCTCCTCCTCCTCCTCCTCCTCAAACTCCATTTCCTTCTGCTCCTGCTCGCACTCCACGTCTCGTCCTCGTCCTCCTCGTCCTCCTCGTCCTCCTCATCCTCCTCATCCTCATCCTCTCCTCCCCTTCTGCCCGCACTCCCGCTCCCAGCCAGCCTTCTGCATGATCATCAGGAACTTGTCATGCGAGTAGGCCACTGGGCTGCAGGCGGGCACGGTGGAGATGTGTGGGGGGGTCACGACTGAAGCAGTGCGAGATCATCTCGCGCGTCTCCAGCCTGCTGCTGCCCCTCCTCCTCCTCCTCTCCTCCTCTCCTCCTCCTCAATCATCCTCCTCCTTCCTTCCTCCTCCCTCCTCCTCCTCCTCCTCCTCCTCCTCCTCCTCCCCCTCCGCATTCTCGAACTCTCATTATCTGCCTCCTCTTCCCCATCCACCTTCCCATCCCATTCCCTTTCTGGCTCATCCTCCCCATTCACCTTCCCCTTCGGCATCCGCCCTCCCCTCCTCCACAGCGACATGCCTGCATCGTCTATCGCCCTGTGCATGTTTTCTGTTCCTCCTCCTCCTCCTCCTCGTCCTTATCCCCACCCTCCTCATCATCAGATTTCATTTCCTCTTCATCATCCCAGCCTCCGCATTCTTCGCTTCCTTATCATCATCATTTGACTCCTCTTCCGCTTCGTCGCCATTGTCCGATTCCTCCTCCTTCTCCTGCCCTCCATCTCCTGGTAATCCTGCTCTTCCTCCTAATCATCCTCTCCTCTCCTCCTATCCTCTCTCGCCTCGCTTCCTGCTGGTGTCCTAGTCCTCCTCCTCCTCCTGATCCACTTCATCCTCCCATCATCATCAGCATCATCATCAGCATCGTCGTCATCATCATCACAACCACAACCACCACCACCACCACCACCACCACCACCACCACCATCATCATCATCATCATCATCATCATCATCATCATCATCATCATCATCATCATCATCATCATCATCATCATCAGTCATCATCATCATCATCATCATCATCATCATCATCATCATCATCACCATCACCATCACCATCACCATCACCATCACCATCACCATCACCATCATCATCATCATCATCCTCATCCTCATCCTCATCCTCATCCTCCTCCTCCTCCTCCTCATCATCATCATCAACAACAACATAAACATCATCATCGGCAGCATCCTCGTCATCATCATCACCATACTCATCACCATCAGCATCATCATCGTCAGAGTCATCATACTTATCATAATCATCATCAGCAGCAGCATCGTCATCATCAGCATAGGCGTCATCAGCATCATCACAATCACCATCATCACCGTCATCATCACCACCATCACCATCACCATCACCATCATCATCACCATCACCATCATCATCATCATCATCAGCATCATCATCATCATCATCACCATCATCGTCAGCCGCATCATCATCAGCATAGTCATCATACTCATCATCAGCAGCAGCATCATCAGCATCATCACCATCACCATCATCATCAGCATCATCGTCGTGATCAGCATTATCATCATCAGCAGCATCCTCATCACCACCTTAATACTCAAATCATCAGCAGCATCATCATCGGCATCGGCATCATCATCACCGTCACCTTCACAGCCGAGTCCCGCAGCGACCTGTGATCGACCCACCCAGCCACCGCCCGTGCCGAGGTGCCCAGAAGCGCCGCATGCTCGGGAGAGTGCTCTCGCAGACCTGGCCAGCGTAGAACGAACAACACAATCCAGAGAACAAAGCCTGGGGCCACCTCGGCCACCAAGGGAAAGCTACATCGACGCACCCCAGCGTGCCGCCAAGCAGACGGAGGAGCTTGACAAGCACGCGCACGTCCTCTGCGATACAAGTTGTTTGGGAACGAGGAGAAGCTGGGCAGCGTAGCTCAGCGCTGGGAGAGCTCTCGCCACGCAGTTGAGCGCGTTGGTCGATGCAGGTGCCGCCGACGCTGCAAAGTGCCGAGGCTATGCCGGTGCGCTCGGCCCAGGGGGGCTCCACGTGAGAGGAAGCACCGCGGGCCCAGACCATGGGCCAAGGCACAGAAGCTCAGCTCGCCTCCTCCCCTCCTCCTCCTCTTCTTCCGCTTCCTCCTCTTCCTCCTCCTCCTCCTCCTTCTCCTCCTCCTCCTCCTCCTCCTCCTCCTCCTCCTCCTCCTCCTCCCTCTCTAGTCAATTATCCTTCTGTGCCGCTCTCTGCGGCCCCAAGGTTAGACGCCAACGCAGGGCAGGCGGGTCCCAGCAGGCCGCGGACGCGGCAGAGGAGGGGGGGGGATGGAGGGGGGAGGCAAATTGTGGAATCGCCGGGTTGACGACGCGGCTGTCTTCAGCTGCGACCTCGATCGAGATGGCGCGTGATAGCGGAACCACCGCGCGCTCCGCTGGCTTGAGCTTGAGGATCGGGATTTCCCCCGCGACCGCCATGGCCCAAGCGGGGAATTGAGTCCACGGCGTCGAAAAGGATGCCGACGTCATCGGCGTAGGCCCGAAAAGCTCCCAGCGCACGGGATTCGATGCCCATTCTCACGATCACCGAAAATGGCGATGTCGCAGCAGCAAAGCAGACTACCAAACAGCGCGCATCCTTCAGTGATCCCGCAGCCGGTCCGAAACGTCTCCGCGACCAGTCCGCCAGCTTTGCCGACGGCAGCAGACGACGCCGCGCGTGGGCCGAACCGCAGAGGACAGAGCCGATGGGAGCTGAGGGCGCCTCGTGCGTGCTCTGGGGAGCGCGGGCGCTGCTCTCGCCGGCGCGTCCAGCGCAGGGATCTTGGGCGCAGGCTGCCCCCCCGGGAGCGACGCCCCGCGGCGCCGCAGAGGGCGTCTGATCGATAGGGGGCCGGCGCGGAGCTGAGAGTGGCCGGGCTGACCTCCGCGTCGTGCCCGAGCTGCGGGGGCCGAGCGTGCGGACCGCGTCTGGCATAAAAACTGCCAGTTTTCCGCAGCAGCCCTCGCCGGTCTCGGGGCAGACGAGGCGCAGAGAGTCTTGAGGCGCAAACGACATTGGCCAAAGAACATGACCCAAATAACATCAGCGCAAATGACAATAGCCAATGACATCAGCCAAATAACACCGAAAAACTGCTACCGTAGCCAAATAACATCAGCGCCGAACGCGCGAGCGACCCGCGCCGCGCGGGGAAGACAGTCCACCCCGGGAGCGGTGCTGGGGAGCGCCAGCCGTCCGAGAGCTGCATCGGGCACGCGCTGCGAAGCAGCAGGGCTGAGGCGCGCAGCCGTTAGACTCCGGGGCAGGAGGCGGGCCTGGCACAAACTGGAGGCCAGTGAGAAGGGAGGAGGGAGGAGGGAGGAGAGGAGGAGGGAGGAGGGAGGAGGAGGGAGGAGGGAGGGAGGAGGAGGGAGGAGGAGGAGGAGGAGGGAGGAGGGCGAGCCAGCTTGTCCTCCGACAGGGAGGCCTGCTCACGGACCGTGGTGGCGCGCAGAGCGAGGCGTGTGGCTGACGAAACGCCCAGATTCTGAGCCTCCCTCTGCAAGGCCAAGGTCGTCCCGAAGGACGGCCAGTCCTTCCCCTTGTCGGTGCACCTGCTCCTCCTCCTCCTCCTCCTCCTCCTCCTCCTCATCCTCCTCCTCCTCCTCCTCCTCCTCCTCCTCTGGAGCTCTTCGAGCTCGGCAGCTGCAGCAGGATGGCTGCCCAGCTGGGTCGACCGAGGGCACCTTCCCGCCATGGGCTGCCACGCGCTCGCGCGCTGCGCCCGACGAGATGCCGACCTCGATCGCGGGGAGAACGTCCTGTTACCAGGTTGCTCTCGCAGCTGGCCCAGCGGATAATTGGGGCTTCCTGGGAATCAGGTTCGCCCTGCAAGACCATGCCCCCTCCCTCGCAGGCAGCCGGAGGCATGAGGTCCTTGCATCTTTCCGGAAGCCTTGTATGGGGCGAGAGAGAGGCCTGTCCATTGGCGCGTCCAGATTGGCCTGGACTCCAGCCTCTTGTGGATCTGTCTGAAGGGGCCCCAGGACACACACACACAAATACACACAAATAAAAAAAATATTCCCCTATTTTCCTGTACTTTTGGGGTTTTCGTCCTCCCCCCCACTTCCCATATATGTTCTGGGGAATCGACGATTAATTGTGTCTTTGTGTTTTTTCCCTTCCTGACAGCAGCCTTGTACAGTAGGGGCGAGAGAGAGAGGCCATGCTCTCACTGTCCGTTGCGATGAGCGCGTCCAGATTGGCCTGAATTCCGGCCTCTCGTGGATCTGTCTCGGGGCAGGCTCTCGGCTGCACGCAAGAGCGACCCTGGGTAAGAGTGACCTTTGGTGCGCGGCTTTTTGTGGGCCGCGTGGGGACCAAACCTGGGCGTGCAAGCCGTTGCTCCTGCTTCGTTTCAGCCATCTGGGGACCCATCTGTGCCCGCACCAAAGGTCACTCCGGTGAAAGGTCACTCTTACGTCTGGTCGAGGCTCGACTGCCTCATCTTCGCGAAGCCGGTGTCGAAGTACCAAGCGAACGGCAGCGCGGTCGAAAGCAGTAGCTCCAGGCAGCCGACGGCAGCGGTGAAGCGGAACAACTGACGAGACATACCGTGGCTGCGCGCGTCGCAATGCCGAATCTCCGCCTGGCCCTGCCGCGACACTGTCTTTACACACTTTCCCCAAAACAATAATAGACGCCGATGGGAGAGCTGAGGCCGACAACGAAATAGGGGCTACCGTGGCGACACCACTGCGAGCATGATGTTTCCTTACTTCTTCAAAAGACCCAAGCGCGAGAATCAGGAGCCACCATGGTCATGGAGATCCTGAGCTCGTCGATGTCCTGGCGCGCCTCTTGAACGACAACGATCGAGCTCGATATGCCAGACTTGTGGAAGTATGGTGGCTTTCGGTATAGCCATCCACCCGCGAAACTGAAGGGGGACACGAGCATTCCACGCAACGAAAGCGATCGTACCAGGCTTGGGTGGAGGCCCACCTTCGAATTTGTGGCGGAAGAGCCCTTCAAAGACGCTGAAGAGACCACTCTGGCGCCGCAGTCGGCCCGATGACAAGATTGACGGTCTTGGTCAGGTGCTCCCAAGACCATCCACACTGCACCAGAACTGCCTCGTGCTACACAATAGCGTGTGGTGTGGCCGCGTCCAGGCCGTGGCTCCAGCCGAAGGATCGGGCTCCGACTTTCTGAGATCCAGCCATTCTGCCTGTCGGAGAAGAACTTGTGGTCGGTGTGGCGTTCGCGAAGGAGGCGCGTGATCTTCTTGCCAACGACCTCCATGTTCACTTGGCGGGTGCTCCTGTCTGGAACGACGTGGGGTTGCGCAGAGCCACCAGGCGCAGCCGGCACGGGGAAGCGGACCCATTGACCTCCCCCAAAGAGACGGAGAGCCGCCAGCGCCTGCTGCACCCTTTTCCCAACAATGCCAGTCGCACCTGCGAACTGCACCGAAAATATCGTGTCCATGTCCCCGCCACCAACCGCGAAGCCACTCGCCAGCAGTCTTGGGCCACGCCTCGACGGGGGCGGCCACGCCCATCCTGCGCACCATCGTCGGGGCCACCACCTTGAGGATCGTACCGTCCACGTCCTGCTTGAAGGGGGTGGGTGGCATCCATACGTGGCGGCGGAGGAACACGATTGGCCATGACGAGCTCGTTCCGCGTCTCGTCCATGGAAGCGCGCGTGTCGTCGATTTGCCTGGCGTGGTCAGTGCCCCTGATGTCCAGCGAGCCAGCCCTTGCAGTGACATTGACGATCTGAGCTTGGATATGGCGCTCGGTGGAGCTCGATGTCGGGCCTAATCGATTTCCCAATGTTTTTTCTGCATAAGCTGGGACTGTTAACGGGGGGCATCCAGTGCTTTGGTCGCAGCATGGGCGGGAGATGCTGCACCGTCAGCAGATATCAGAAACTGCCTTGGCGTGTCCCGCCATGAGCTCGCCCAGCTCGGCTTTGATTTCCGTGATCTTGGAAGAGAGCCGTGCACCAATGTGTCCTGTAATGTACAGGGTCCCATGAGTTCGGGTCCGTGCACTCGTCGCTGTCATCGGATGGGGAACGGCCACACCTGGAACAATCATCACCCCGCCCTTGCGAGCCATCTTTTGGGAGACTGCGACTGGGAGCCATTGCTGGCCTTGGCTGCCTTCTTCTTGCACCTGGCGAGGGCATCTGGCATGCGGCTGGCGGCAGACAGGGCAGCGGGAACTGGAGATGCCTCAGTCTGCCCACTGCCCCGTCCGCCGAGCTGGACGGCAGGCCACGCTCCACCAGGGAGCTCACCCGAGAACCGAGGCCTGGCCGCGGATCGGCGGTGTCCACTGCGCGCCCCAGGGAACCGGGCACCTCGAGCCAACATGGCTATACGGAACGAGCAGGAGGCAGGATCGGGGGGATCGGAAGGAAGAGGAGAACACCTCCCTCCCCTCCCCCCCAATCCCGGGCCGCCGCGGGGCGAGCGGCGCGCGGGCCCGCCCCTCCGCGGCTCCTGTGCGCCATCATGGTGCTGGCGGCCAGGTCGTACTCGTCGTAGTGGCTGTGCAAGAACACGGCCTCTCGCGCCACCACCGCCGCCACAGCAACGACCACGGTCATCATCACCACCATCACTTCCATCACCCCCACGACCCCAATCACCCCGTCACCACCGTCAGCCCCATCGTCCCCATCCTCAGCCTCATCATCTCCGACACCCCCATCATCCCCATCACCCCGATCACCCC